AAACCCAATGACACTATTTTTGTATAGATTTATGTTTTTCAAAAACCTCTTATGACAATTCTTGAGCAAAAGTTGATTCTAATTTGGTCGTTATTTGGGGTAGAAGGCCTTCAAAAAGAAATTTAATTGCGTAGAGTGTTGGAGAACTTATTCTTTAACGATATAGAAAACCGCGAATTTTAATTCAAAAAAGCCGCTTAATTTTCATCTCCTAATTTGAAAAAAGTGGGAACAGAATTCCCATATGTTTGTTTCAAATTAGGATCATAACAATAAATTCACGCGGTTTCTTTTGATTAGAAAACTCGTATATTCATCTCTTAACTTCAGACAATAAAGCATAAAATTTTTTAAAACTTCTTCACCACTTTTTAACCACTTTACCACTTTTTAACTTATAAAAATTTTTTTCATAAAATCTGAATTTTCTCTGACTTAAAACATAAAATATACTTTCATTGGCTATAAAATGAATCTGTGTGTTATTATAACAATATTTCTGGCGTCTATTACTGCAGATACTTTCGCGACGAAAGCAAAATTTTGCAAGTTAAAACCAGGTTCCCGTGAATCCTTTTCCCGTCAATGCAAATGCGTTGGCGATGAAATTGTCATTTGCTGTGTAGGCTACGGGGAATACCCCGGAACGGAATGGCCCTATCTCACAGCGTTTAAAATTAGCGCTGACTTCAAACTAATTCTCTCGAAATCTTGTGGGCTGGAAAACTGGAAAAGAAGTTCGGATATCGTTCTTTTCGGCTCCGATGACGAGTTCCCCACTAATGATTACCGAGATAAAGTGTTTCAGGAGTATTTAAAGCAGTATCCAAAAGAACCGATAGCTCAAGTTCCGAGAAAAAGATTGGAACCATCATTTGTTGCAGCAAAACACACGAATTGAATTTCAGATGGCTGACAATTCTGAGAGAAGACCTGGAAGGAACTTTTGAACTCAAAGAACAAACTTAAAATGTAGTTTCAGTCGTCATATTTTTTGATATTTAGAAAAGCAGATAAAAATTTCAAAATTAATGTAACCAAGAAAATTTGAGTTATTCATTTGCATCTGTTTTTTCCAAATGAACAAGAAATTTTTTCCCGAAAACAGAGATAAAAATTAAAATTTCATTCTCTTCAAATAATCTGAAAAATTAAGCTGGTGTGAAAAAAAAGTTTTTCATTGAATTTGAGAACTTAATAATCTCGATTAATCTTTGCACATGCTCCTTGATCTTTACAATTGGGGTGTTTTTCCGTCTGGCTGTAGTTACACCGTTTTCTGTTTTATGACAACGCCGCCATTAGAAGCTTGTTCACCACGCCTCGCTTCATTGAATTATAAAACAATTTTGAAGTTGAAATGCGAGGAAACTGCTAGAGAAGTGTCATTTTAATACTTTCGGCCACATTTCAACTTCATTTTTCAAAAATTCTTTAGCGTTGCCATAATTCAATGAAACGAGGCATGTCGAATAAACTAATAATTGCGAACTGATTTATTTTTCATACTTAATGCTGAAACACTACGAAATTAGCCACAATAAACTGTACAACTTAAAAAAACTTACAAATTTGAAAATGTGGAGAATCTGTTTAGACTAATTTCGGCGATTAAAACGATAATTGTCAATAAACTTTATTAGAAGTCCAATGAAGTTAATGACTCTTTGAGTAAGTTCATAGTTAAACAAAAAATTTTTAATGGTTTTATTTTTTTTATTGAATAGATTTCAAAAATCCCAATAAAACCAAGTTCCGGATTAACTTATGCATGCTTCTTAAATAATATCTTATATGAAAAAAGCGTAAGCGACATTTATCTCAGCTATCTTGCACTCAAAACCAGTCCGATCGATATTCAGCTATCTAACTGGTTGAATTTGCTCCATATACAACCCAATTTTAAACACTTACTATTTGATATTGGCTGTGGTTGTCGGGCAGGAAAATCGAAACTTTATCAAAATTTCCTTGCTGAAAATAGTTTTTGTAATATAGAAAAGAAAGCTAGAAAAAAAATAGAAACATCTTATCAACCAATGCTTGCTTTACAGCTGTTCACGGTTAAGTTTTTGGACAGGGTACGGGTGCACTTATGTTTCCTGGCGCGAGATTCCTGGAACGCAAACTTTGCAAGGAACTTTTCTGAAAAACGAAGTACTTTGGCATTCGTGTTGCAAGATCTGTATAGAAGTTTTAATCCATTTACAAAAAAAAGATTACGCAAGAGATATGCCAAAAATATACAGAAAAAAAACAAGATATTGCTTTTGGCTCTTTTCCAGTTCCCCTCTTTCAAATTCAATTTTGAAAAGCTTAATTAACGTTGTCATGTCATAATTCAATGAAGTTTGGCGTGTGAACATATCAAAAACTGTGAACAGATTTGATCTTCATACTTTACAGCGTAACATCACGCATTCAGCCTTAATAACACGTGAAACAAACATAAAGCTCGGTATTTTGAAAAGAGCCTTGCTTTTTTGCCATCTTAAACACTCCATTTAAAACTAGTATGCAAGGTTCAAAAAATTCAAAAATCATGCTAACAACTTGCCTAGATCTGACATTTTTTCAATGCCAAGAAAAAATTTGAAAATTATTTAGTTTCGGTGAACAGTTGTAAAAAAAAAATCTCATGACTATTGCATCAGGTCCAAAATTTCGTTTTTATTTGTTTTCTGTGTGCTTTTCGATTTTGTGAAAATTTTCAATGATTGAACAGTATGACGAAGTTTTCCTAATTTACCGTGAATTTGGTGTGAGCAAGGCTCTTTTCCAGTCCCACCTTTCAAATTCAATTTTGAAAAACTTATTTAACGTTGTCATAATTCAATGAAGTTTGGACATATCAAAAACTGTGAACAGATTTGTTCTTCATACTTTACAGCGTAACATCACGCATTTAGCCGTAATAACACGTGAAAAAAATATAAAGCTCGGTATTTTGAGAAGAGCCTTGCTTTTTTGCCATCTTAAACGCTCCTTTTAAAACTAGTATGCAAGGTTCAAAAAATTCAAAAATCATGCTAACAACTTGCCTAGATCTGACATTTTTTCAATGCGAAGAAAAAATTTGAAAATTATTTAGTTTCGGTGAACCGTTGTAAAAGAATGTCATGACTATTGCATCAAGTCCAAAATTTCGTTTTTATTTGTTTTCTGTGTGCTTTTCGATTTTGTGAAAACTTTCAATGAATGAACAGTATGACGAAGTTTTCCTAATTTACCGTGAATTTGGTGTGAGAAAGCATTAACTTACCTCAATTTTCGATTGAAAGGAACTTTTTCATATAACGAGTAATTTTAAATTTTTATGTATCAACAATGGAAAAAGGTTTCGAAACTATTCAATGGAAGCTATGTTATGAAAAAAAAAATGATAAAAATATTGATTTTCTCAAACTACAAAGCTAAAATTAAGATACAATAACAAAAAAATTTACTAGTTAAAATTAAAAAAAAACTGCTGTTTGATAAGTATTGGTTATAAATTTATTTATTAATTCAATATTGCAAAATAAATTATTGCAATTTTAATTGGGCTCTTTTTCATTCCCCCCCACCTCACATGAGCTTCAATATATTAGTGTAACGAGTGGTTTTACGAGGCTGAGTATGAAGACCAAATATTTGTCGTGGCCTTATTAGTCTGTATGTAACTTTTTGTAACAATCGAACATTGTGATCAATAAATTTGCATAAAAAAATTACAATATTAAACAAGAACATCCGCTTATTGTGCAAACAGTACAATGTTCTGGCCATATTCTTGACAAAACAAAAATCTTTGAAAAACATTACAAGACGGAAAAAAATCAAAAAAACTTCAAACTTTTTTTTCAATTTTTTCTTGCAGTGTTTTTTGAATTTCTGAGTTTTTTATAATCCTAAACGGGGCTAAAAGCTCCAAAATTTAACTTGATTTGAGTTAAATTAAGTTTTCACGGCTGAAATTAAGCTTAAATAAGCTATTGTAAGTATGCACGCTGAAATTGTTTGCTGAAAGTTAGACAAAATTAGAAATTTCAAACCATTTTTTTTTCATTTAAAAAAAAAAGTTTTCACAATTTTATAATATCGTTCGATTCACGATTAGAAATGCTCTTCTTATTTGTGGTACTTGATTGTTTGTGATAGCTGAGTTTGCGTGGAAAACAAGAGGAAAAAACTGAAACACACCCGAATAAAAATTCCTCTGCATTTTTTAAATAGTCGGAATAACAAATTTCCTTTTTATTGCAAAAATTAGGGTTAATTCGAGCAAAAATGAAAATTAACTGGTGAAAAAGTTTTAAGGTTAGTCGTCCAAAAATGGTACATAGGGAAATGTTGGTAACCAGGGTTGCGAGGGTGCACTAAACCCACTTTTCATCACGCTTCTCATTGTTGATTTCTTGAGATGGTTCTAAAATGCGGGCTTAACGGAAGAAAGAAACTTTTGAAAAAGAAAGATTCCGTTTTATTGCGGTTCTGTACCCTTTTAATTTTTGGTAATTTGTCAAGTGATCACAAGGTGATAAGCAAACCATAACTTAAAGATTGAAAATATTTTAAAATCCAACTTAGAACCAATTTATACTCCGCTCGAAAGAGGGAGAGGGGTGGGGGTGATGTCGGGACATCGATACCTTAACATCGAATTGAATTCTTAAATATCCAACAATGATGCCAATAGCTTGCTTAAAGCTCATGGGAGCACAATGTTTAGTTACAATGGCACTCTTGTTTTGCATCAGCTGAACTTATTTTTTTTTCGCCGTTCTGCCAGGGCTGAATAAAAATCGCAATTATCAAAAAATAACCTATACCTTTTGCAACAAGCAATTTTTTCAGATATAGATTTTTATTCTATAACAAATATCTCAGAAATATAGTTTTCGACTGCTGTTTATTTTTCTATAAATAAATAGTACAAACATGTATTAAAAGATTCTTAATTATGCCGTAATTTTTAATTTAGATTCTATCGAATATCTCAAACCAAAACTAGAACTCGAGTAAAACTATTTATTAAAGTTGTGGTACCAAATTAATCATAATCTAGACAAACTTTCAGGTTTCAGTTCTGCAAGAATTGCACAAAAATATATACCTTATATCAGGTAAATAAATGTAGGTTAGTTTTTCGTCTTTTCGAAAGTTTCGACTATTCGGGATTTTTCTCATTGATCCTTTTGTTTATGAAAATTAGAGAAAAGAGCAGTCTTTTTTTTGTAACTCAGTTTGGGAAGTTATTTAAGGTTCTTCAAAAATCCAAAATACAAAAGTCCAAAGTTCAAAATTTGCACAAAAAGCTTACTTTCGTTACCAGCAATTGATATGTAAGCAGCACTAGACAAAATATAAATGAAAATTTATTCGTGTTGTTTTCCCTGAATTTTATTTTGAAAAGGCAAGCTTTTTTGGCTCTTCTTTTTTATTCCGCCCAAAATGTCTTAGAAACCCATCATTCACAACTTGAACATGTTGTTGTTCATGCAATGTTTTGGTTGCTTACTGACTTAATCTAATCAAATTTCCACATTCTCTTCAATTTTTTTATAATTTGAGGTTTTATATTTTGGGCGGAATAATTAAAAACCCGATTCTAATTAGGATGGCAGCAGTAGCAGCAATGGCAGGTGTTGGGGCGTTTGCGGGCTTGGGCGCAGTAGCTGCAACGCCTTTGGTCCTAGGTGCTGTCGGGTTCACCGCCGCAGGCGTTGCAGCTGGATCTCTGGCAGCCTCGATGCAAGGTAAACTTCAAATAAACCCAAACTTCAATTTTAGAATACTGAAATCTGAATCGCTGACAGAATTGTATCTCATTCGGTTTTCAGACATAAGGGATTCCCCAGAAAAATTTGCTTTATGTTTACATAAGCTTTTGAGTTCTAGGCTCAGCAGTGGTTAGTGGGAGTTTGTTTGCGGTTGCGCAATCAGCAGGGGCTGCAGGACTATCGGCTACCACACAATATGGAATGGTGACTATCGGCTCTCTCCTCGGTGCTTTGATTGTCTGAGAAGAATGACGTCAATTTTGAAAAAAAAACAATTGGTGGAAAACTACAAAAACAATTATAGTGATGACTGATTGACTACTGACGACAATTAATTTACGTGTAATTAGTTTATGTGACAATTAATTTAATTTAAGATGTAGTATAGATTATCTTTGTGCAATTTTTTGGAAACTTTTTTTTCTTCGATTTTTTGGCTTCAGAATTAAACGAATTTAATGTACAGGTTAATTCATACTTGCCCAACTTGCTTAAGTAGTTGGGTTGACGTTTGATACTGTGAAAACAACAGGCGGAATTTTGAATTCACATTTTTTCCTTTTGGTACCAGACAAGCCACTCAAAAGGGATAAACGGAAAATGTCACTTTTTGAAAATGACAATTTGATCAACCCTAAAACTAAATTCGAACTGTTAATAGTCATACTTCTAGGCAGGTGCAGATTTAGGGTGGGGGCGCAAGCCCCCTTCAGGGATCCGACCCCCTGTCGACCCAAAGGGTCCCCCTTTGTACTATTTTGTCAAATCTAATTTGGCGACGGAACCAAAAACTTTTCTAAGCGTGCCTCTTATTTTAATTTTGAGTAGGGAGTGCGTGCCGAAAAAACGCAATTTTTTTTTCAAAGTTGGCCTGTTTTTTTTTTCAAAGTTTTGCCTGCAGTGCAGAAAACTTGGCCAAAACAGGTTCTCTTTACTGCTTTGGGAGAGCTCAGAAAACCAACTTGTTCGACCTAAAAAAATGAAATTTTCGAAAACTTTTTGACAATCCCCCCTTCGAGAAAAATCTAGATCCACCCTAGCTTGTAGGCCAGTTATTTTTCTTCTCATAATGAAATTTCATACAAATATACTAAATAACTCAAACAAATGAACTAGAGATTTAAAGCAAATGTACTACGAAGCTGATATGAATAGTTGATTTGAAAGAAACTGAATTGAATGAATACCGCCGAGAAAAAAGCATAAAATGAACACTTTTTCGATTTTTTTGAACTTTTTCATATTACGAGTATTTTATGCGGCCCATATAAATTTTAGGTATCTCCAATAGAAAAAATCTTCGCAGCTATTCAATGGAAGCTAGTTTATGGAAAAAATGATAGGCTTACAAGTTTTTTCAAACTACAAAATTAGAATTAAGGAAAACTGACCAAAAAAGCTACTAATTAAGATGAAAAAACTGCTGTTTGATAACTAATGTGTATAAATTTAATTGAAATCCAATATTATATGAAAGTAGCCGGTTACTGTGCAAATAGCAGATTTTTTATCATAGTTTTAACAAAACAAACGTTGTTTTTATTTAAATTTAGAGTAGTTGTGTTTTTGTGAAATCAAGCATATTTGACAATCAAAATAACATAGGACAATTAAAAAAGGGTTATTCATTGAAAATGACGAGAAAAACGAAGAAAATCAGAAAACAAACAAAAAACATAAAAATTTCAATTGTTTGTTTTTTGCAGTCTCTTTGAATAACCCAAAATGGCGCTAAGAACTCTAAAATTGGATTTTATTTGTGTACAATAAGCTTTCAAGGCTTAAAATTAGCCTAAATTATCTATAGTAAACCTGTACGCTGATCTTATCAGCTCAAAACTAGACAAAAAAAACAAAAAAATCATACCGCTTTTTTTCCTTATTTCGAAAATTTTACGAGTGAAAGTACTCTAACATGTTAATATAGCTATGTTATAGCTACATGATATAGCTACATGATTATTTATGGTACCTGATTTTGCGTGGAAAATAAAATGGAAAAAATTTAAACACACCCGAATACAAAGTCCCTTTGCATCATTTAAATGGTCGGAATAAAAACTTCCTCATTATCGCAAAAATTAAGGTTCATTGGCGCCAAAAACACAAGGAAAAAATTTTAGGTTTAGTTGGAAAAAAATAGCTCACAGGAGAAACTTGGTAATCAGGGTTGAGGGGCGCCTAAACGCACTTTTCATCACGCTTCTCGTTGTTTGGTTTCTTGAGATTTTTTAAAATGCGTGCTTAACGGATGGAAGAAACAATTGAAAAAGAAAGATAACGTTTTATTGTGGTTCCGTACCGTTTCATTGTGGTTCTTTTGTCAAGTGATCATAAAATGATAAGACAACCATAATTTAGATGTTGAATTGATAGTGAACTTTAATTTTTACTACGCTCGAAAGTGGGGGGAGGGGGGTTGAGGCCGGAACATCAAAACCCTAAGATCGAATTGAATTCAAAAATATCCAACAATGATGCCATTATCGTGCTTAAAGCTCATGGAAGCACAAGTTTTAGATATAATGGCACTCTAATTTGGCATCAGCTAAACTTATAAATATTTTTTTTGATTTCTCTTTATTTTTTCTAAAACTGAATGATGCAAACACGTAAAATAAATTTTAAATAATGGCGTAATTTTTAAATTTAGATTTTTATCGATATCTCTAACAAAAACTAGAACTCGAGTAACGTTGCTGATTATTGTTTTTGTATCATAATCTAGATAATCATAATCTTGATAAACTTTCATGTTTCAGTTCTGCAAGAATTTCGCAAAAAATACATACCTCATACAAAGTAAATAAAGTTAGATGAATTATTCTTTTTTTTTTTACAATTTCGACCCTACAAGATTTTTCTCAAGGATCCTTTTGTAATCTAAAAGTATTGCGCACCTTTTGTAGCACGTGTTTTTTCAGATATATATTTTTATTTGATAAAAATAAATAATGCAAATATATGTAAATAGATTCGTATAGTGACGTAACTTATAAATTTAAACATTATCAAACACCTGCCTGCAAGCAAAACTAAAACTCGAATTGTGGTTAATTATTTTTTTGCCCTAGAAATCTCATAACCGCGACAGACTTTCAATTTTCAGTTCAAATTTCGGCTTATTACGATTTCAATTTTCCATGTTTATTTCAATAATACTTTCGTATAAAAAATTAGATAATATGTCAGTCATTTTGATATAACTCAGTTTTCAAAAGCATATGAAAGAGCTTATTTGACGCGAAAAAGTATAAAGTAAAAAAATTGAGCATCGAAAAAACCCAATTATTGAAAAAAAAAAACAAAGTTCAAAAACTGCCCAAAAACATTGACCTCAGAAAAATTATTTCTGTATATTTGAAATAGGAACCGAAAAATCACCTTAATATGAACCTCCTTACCCTACCATCAGTTTCGAACTCACGCCAGTTTTTGTCCACTAAATACTTTTTAAATTTTACAATTATTTTAGAAACATTATATAGTTTTTGGGTCAAACTTAAAGCATTAAAAATTAGCAATTGATAGTTTGGGCAGCGCCAGTTTTAGACAAAATCAACAGCAGCTCAGATTATTTTCATCATCAGTTTTTTTCTGAAAAAACAAGCATACCTTTAAGTAGAATTGCAGAAATAGTAGTTGGGGCGGCTGCGGGCTTGGTCACAGTGCTGACAGTACCTGTGATGCTAGGCGCAGTTGGCTTCAACGCTGCAGAAATTGCAGCTGCATCTCTGGCTCCTTATTTTCAAGGTAAACTTCAAATATTGAACTGAATCAATGTCATGACACCAATAAAAGAAACATATATATGTTGGCAGTAGCGAATTTAGAGAGGGTGACGGATGCCCCCCCCCCCCCTTCAGGGTTTCGACCCCCTGCCGGCCCCGTTTGTTGGCAGAAGCGAATTTAGAGAGGGTGGCGGACGCCCCCTCCCCCTTCAGGGTTTCGACCCCCTGCCGACCCATTTGTACTATTTTGAGGTACCAAAATTTGGCAGACTGACCTTAAAATGTATGGTTGTCGTGAAACACCGAAAAAAAACTTTCCACTTTAATTTTCTTTAACAGTTTCGTACTTCAACCTATAGTCTATTATTGCCTTAAGCAGAATTTATTGTCTAATACCATGGTCTTGATTGAACCTTATATACATTGAATTGACTATATATAAACAGTCCGTCGTAAATAGAATTCGTATGATAAGCATTTCTTTCTTACACTCCGAATCAAGAATTGCAAGGCAAGCATTTATCTTAAAGGAAATCATGTGTTTTCGTCTATGAAGCTGAACCTTTGATTCTGTTCAATTATCGCAAACCAATTCGAGTTGGTTAAAATAAAAAATCTGAGCGCATTATCAAAATTAAATTTCAACTTCTCAGTTGGTAAATGAGGCGTTGTTAAAAACTTTGATCGGAATATGTTAAAATACACGAATAATTTTTGAAAAAGTGATTGATGTTGGAAATATGTCTAGTTGCGTATTTGAGAAAAAAAGTAAAAGAATGGTCTTGCATAATGTTAACGTAACCTTTCAATTAAACTTACCTATGGAACAAGTAAGCTTTCAAAAAATTGTTATAATAGTGGACAGAACTATTATAAATTCGGTTCGTATTTCATAACTGTTTTTGGGTCTTCTAATAATATCTCAGGATTTACATTTTCTTTTACCGTCACCGCTAACAAAAATTGGCCCAACCAAATTTTGAAATTACAGGGAGGATCCGAACTTGCTGATGTGCAGAAAACAGGAATGCCCATGTCCGTTGGGTTGCCATGTGCCATGAATCCTGCTGGCTGCGCCATGTGGTAATGAAAAGTATGTTATAAAACTGGTGTGAAATGTCGGTTTCAATGTCGGTTTCAAGATGTAAATTCAGTCTTTGAAACTGTTTTTTTTGAGGTTTTCTCTAAAAGCGTTTAGGTCAAACCGAACTCCGTATCTGCCGTACGGAGATCTGCCTCTCATCTGAATCGCCTCAGTGATCAACACTGAACGACCTTGATATAATAACAAAATATGATTACAGATAGCAACATGAAACTCAAGGTTAGTGTACAGCAAGGTTAACATATAATTACTGCACATGCAGTATGTGCTGTACCACAGACTATATTGTAATTAAAATCCAATTTTAACAAATTCTTATCAATTGTTTTTGAAGTTTTTTCAGAGACTGAAAACAAAAATCCAATATAATCTAATTTTAGTTTTATCATTCCAGTGTAGTTTACTGACTTATTCTTGTTCTATGATAAATTTTTGCTGAATTTCATTCAGAAAAAAACACCAAATTGACAAAATTTGGCAAAAAAATATAACTCAGAAGATTTTCTTTG